GGCCGGGCGCACAGAGGCGGAGGCTCTGCGGTGCAGGGCGTGCTTGGGGCGTGCTTGCGCGGGAGACTGCGCCCGGGTTCCGGGGGCTTCGCGCCGGCTGCGCGAGGGGGTCCCCGGTCGGGTGGGCGGCGCAAGGGCCTCGCAGAGACGGTTCCGGGTGCTGGGCCCGGCCAACCCCGAAGTCGGGCCGTCCCTTCCTGGCTGGCGCGCTCGCGGCCGTCGGGCGGCTGGGAGATCTGGGGCCGCCCCGCCTCGACCTAGGGCACTGGCTGGGGGAGGGAAGCCGAGGCGCGAGGGGCTTTGCTAGTTTGTTTTGCAGTGGTAGAGGGAAGCAATCATGCTGTCTACCCTCATCTCAGTGCAGCGTGTCAAAAATTTTGGGGTCTCTTAGCCACCCCTCCTTTTACTTTGCAGAAGGGAAATTGGAATAGTAACCGACAGGGCCAAGGTCACACTCTTAGTGGCAGAGTCGCGGCTAGAATCCAGAGCCTCAGACACGCTCTCAGCCTCCACATCAGCACTTCCTTCTCGCCACCCCCTTCCCCACCCTCTCTGTGTGGCTGCACAGGCCAGTCCAGCCGGTATTGATTGTTCTCTGGACCTAGGGGGTAGAGATTGGGGAGGGTTAGTGACCTGGAGAGGGTTGGTGACACTGGGAGTCTGCCTTGGATGAGGCTTTCTGTCCCTAAAAGACCCGTGATCTGGCTCCTGTGTCATTCACCTCATTACTGTGTTTTCTCCAGAATCTCGGGAGTGGGAACCCTGACCCCCTACCCCTCTGCATCCAGCCAATAGGAGCCCAGTAAGTGGCCCCACCTCCAGGCTGCAGCCTTCCACCTGTGCAGGTCTCCCGTGCCACTCGGCCCCCCTCTGGGCCCCTCAGCGCCTTGAATGTATGCTTCTTGCTGTGGGGAGGGGAACTTGGGGTCTTGGGGAGGAAGGCCTTGGCTAGGTTGGGTACTTACGTTCCTGTGTTGTTGTGTTCCTACCACACTGGTCGTTGCTTTGGGCACTTTTAGCGCTTTTCTCTTGGAGCTACCGACCTTGGGGAGTTGAAGGTCAGAGTCAATTGCGAACTCTCTCTACCTGCCCCTTGGTTTTTTTGAGTACCCAGTCACTGAGCCATGAGTTTTCACCCTCTACCTAGCTGGGAGTGTGGGGTATCCCCTAAATATAGCCTGGGAAGCAAGAGCCACAGGGCTCCTCCCGTCTGGTACTGTATTTCTGGTACTGAGGGGTGACTTGGGGGAGAACTGGTATCCTGGTTCCTCCTGCCAGACCCCTCCTGTTCCTCCTCCCCAAAAGTGCAGCTGGGGCAGGAAAAGCTGTCTCCTGTTGGGTCAACTGCTGGAGCCCTCTGTACCTGCATGGCAGGGTGCTGAGAGGGGAAACCAGGGGTTTGAGGAGGTGTGAGGCAACCAGCATCTCATTTCCCTACCTTGCCAGGCCACCATGGCGGAATTACAGGAGGTGCAGATCACCGAGGAGAAGCCACTGCTGCCAGGACAGACACCAGAGGCGGCCAAGGTTAGGGGAGACCCTCTGGCTTCCTTGCCAGAATCCCAGACCTCTGAGCAACCCCTTGGCCACCGGGCTTCCCAAGCCCACAGCTTACTCTAATGCACACCCCTACTTTTTCCACCTCTACCATCTCTTGCCATACAAGACCCTTGTCTTGTCACCACACTAACCTTCATCCTCTCATGTCTCTTGTTGTCAATCTGCTTGTCTCTGGTCTCTCTCTACTTTCCTTTGTCTGTCTGTCTTTCCATCTGTGACTTCCTGGCTGTGTGTGTGTGTCTGTCTGTGTGTGTCTCTCTCTAGGAGGCTGAGTTAGCAGCCCGAATCCTCCTGGACCAGGGACAGGTAATGGGGGGCAGTCCCAAGGTGGGAGGAGGGCTGTTTTCTTTCCTAGTATGGAGAGGCCTTGTCTGTTTTTTCCCTACCTCTCCATTGCCCCCTCCCTAGAGTTCTGTGATCCTCCAGTCTTTCATTGTTTTCTACCTGTTTTCCCCTGTCCATGTTTCTAAATTCTTGCTGTGTTCCTATTTTTAATTCTTTGCCCCACCCCCATCTCTCTACTTCTGTATTCCCTTCTCTGGCCTTTTCCTCCTTGGCATAACTTTTCCCTGATGGTGATCTGTTTTTCTACAGACTCACTCTGTGGAGACGCCTTACGGCTCTGTCACCTTTACTGTCTATGGCACTCCCAAGCCCAAACGCCCAGCGATACTCACCTACCACGATGTGGGACTCAACTGTAAGGACCTTCATTTTCCCTCCCCCAGTTCCTTTCTTGGAAGAGGCTGGGTGGGGAAGGATAAAGCCCAAGCCAAGGCATGGTCAGATGGGCAGGCAGGGCAGGGTCAGATGCCCAGTGGCATGGGAAGGAGAAGTTTTCTCCTAAACTGACAGGCATTGGAGCAAGAGGGTGGGTTCTGACATGGGGATACTTTTTCCTGATTTTGTTGTTGGGGTGATGTGGGTTCTCTTTAGATAAATCTTGCTTCCAGCCGCTGTTTCAATTTGGGGACATGCAGGAAATCATTCAGAACTTCGTGCGGGTTCATGTGGATGCCCCTGGAATGGAAGAAGGGGCCCCTGTGTTCCCTGTGGGGTGAGCATTAGCTCCCTACCGTGCACCAGATGTGGCGGGCATGTGTTGGGAGGAGGGGACCAGGAAGGAGGATGGGGAAGGCAGCGGTGATTCTGGGAGAAAGTATGAGAGCACCCGGAGGTGCGAGGGGCACGGGTGCAGCTTGAAGTCCTAACATTGCTCTCTTTTTAGATACCAGTACCCGTCTCTGGACCAGCTTGCAGACATGATCCCTTGTATCTTGCAGTACTTAAAGTGAGAGGCCTGGGGTCCCTTCCAACCTAGAGTTCTCTTTCCAGGACAGGAACCTCTTAGAGCTCCTGTGTCCACCATGCTGCTTGGGATAGTTCTGGTTTCTGTTCCTGATATTTTCTTTTTTTTTTTTTTGAGACAAGGTTTCGCCATATAGTTCAGGCTGGCCTTGGACTCACTATATAGCCCAGGTTGGCCTCAGACTCTCAGTGATTCTCCTGCCTTGCCTCCCCAATGCTGGGATTACAGGCATGCACCACCTGCCGGCTTGTCCTCGATTTTTCCTTTCTCCTCCATGGTTCCACCTTGAGTGTTGAAGCGAAGGGTGGTGGGTTTGGAAAGCCAACCAGAATCAGCTGTAATAGATGGAGGAAGGAAAAGGAAAGGTCTGTGCAAGGCTCTGCTGCAGGCTGAGGACCAGTATCTCAGATTAGACGCTAGACAGGAAGAGGTGGTGGTGATACTCCCTGGGAACCAGATGGACTTGTCTCTTTCCTGCCTACGCCCCTCCTCCAGACACACCTGGTGGACTGGGAGCTCTGTGTCAGGGAGAGTGGGAGAAGGAAGAGAGCCTCAGAGGCCCCCTTGGTATGCAGAGGGAGGTACTGCCTGCTGGGCCTTGGGCTTGGCTTGGTTTTCCTGCTCTCAGCAGCTCTGGTTTACATCCTTGCCTCTGTTTCCCCATTTTCTCTGTTCACTAAAGTTGGGTCTGTTTTCATATCTTGCATTAAGTTCTATTCTTGTTACTCTAGAGGAACCAGGAAGCAGAACAAGTTACACTAGCACCTGACGGGGGACAGCTAACAAAGAGCTGTGTGTATAGGAAAAGGGTGTCTGGTTGGTAGGTTAAGGCAGTAACTCTCCAAGAGGAAGCTGGAGCTGGATGTCAGGGATCTAACTGATGACGGTGCCAACCTTTAGCGCCTTGGTACTTTCCTGTTTACATAAGGAAGGTCCATCACTGTCCTTTGTGCCTGTGGCATAGGGGCAAGGAGGGTGAGAGCTTTGAAGAGATTGGGCTGTGGTAGATTTTAGGTACCAATGCCCATGAGACATACATTTCCCTTTAATAGTTTTTCTTCAATAATTGGAGTTGGTGTTGGAGCTGGAGCCTACATCCTGTCTCGATTTGCTGTAAGAAGTAAAAATTTCCAGATGGGGAAAAGGGGGGTCCTGGCTGATGAGGGTGCTGCTTAGTAGGGTATGTTCAGTGGGGTGGCGGGTGGAAGAAGAGGTGAGGGTAAGGACTCAGGCCCTGTGGGAGCCCCAAGGTGGGTAGAATGAAGCGGGGCGAGGACAAGGCCATGCCTTCTTTCTGATCTCCTTCTGCTCCCTTCAGCTTACCCACCCGGACACAGTTGAAGGTCTTGTTCTCATCAACATTGATCCCAATGCCAAGGGCTGGATGGATTGGGCAGCCCACAAGGTTTGGAGGGCCCTGTGTTTGAGAACTTGGGTGGGGCTTCCCTTGGGTGGGTCCAGTTAAACTCTACTGGTGTAACTGAATGTACTCTACACTTCGATGAGGCAGGAAGGAGAAGCTGTATCACTTTGCCTGGGTCTCTTCTCACCATAGTGTCCTGAACCTGCTTACCTGCCCTTTCCTCTTAGTTAACAGGCCTTACCTCTTCTATCCCGGAGATGATCCTTGGACATCTTTTCAGCCAGGTAAGTGGTTGTGGAAGGTGGGAGGAGTAGAGGGGCCAGCAGGGGCTTACATGCTTGAGATGACTTCCTTAGCTGGACAGGATCTGGGCAGGGAAGAGAGATTGCCTCCTATTATCCAGGAATTGTTGGCTTTTCTTCCCAACCCTAATTTTTCTCCTCTTCTCCTTCAGGAAGAGCTGTCTGGAAATTCTGAGTTGATACAAAAGTATAGAAACATCATTATGCATGCACCCAACCTGGATAACATTGAACTCTACTGGAACAGCTACAACAAGTAGGTGGTCGTGGATTTGTGCGAGAAATGTGGACGGGACGAGTGCTGACAGGTGCAGGAGCAGAGGGAGGGGTCTCTGAAGTGCACGGCGTGCGAGGGCAGGATTTGCTGTGTGATGAGGGCAGCTTCAGGACAGAGCCAGCGGGGAGAACTGTGAGGCACTGTCTCTTTTCTGTTTATCTCCTGTGGGTTTCTGGATTCCCAGAAGCAGGATCATCTCTTGCTTTTGTGCCTTTCCTGCCCTTCGCTGCCCTGACCCTGGGTGGAGGGCCCAGGGACCGTAGTGCTTGCGCTTGGGATCTGCCTGCTGCCTTCTTTGGTTTCCACTTTTATCACTAGTGACTGACCATAAAGAAGGAAAATAGCTTTTTCGTGGAGGGATGGGTGGGAAGGAGATCTTCTATTGGATGAATAGTATCACTTGCCTAAAGTTCCTTCTCTTTGAACCCCTGTCTAGCCGCCGAGACCTGAATTTAGAGCGAGGTGGTGACATCACCCTCAAGTAAGACTTTAGGAGCAAAGCTTTGCCCCGTCCGTGGTTCTGCCTGAGGTGCTTATGTCCCTTAAAACAGTGATGGCGAATCTTTCACAGCTTTCAGTGATAACAAAATAGCCAGCTGTGGCATGCGTGCCATAGGTTTGCCATCACTGTGAAGGCATGTCTTGGTCAGGGAAGTTCGCTGGCACCCCTCACCCCCTGCTTTTTAGCCAGTCTAATCCCTTAGCCAGTCTCTTCCCTTGAATCTTCCTGGTGGGGTCAGAAGAGGAAGGAAGCCTGGCTCCTGCTCTGAGCCAGACATGTCCCAGCCTCTTCTGGGAGGGGGTGAGTGAAGCAGTGCGAGGCCTCACTGCCCCCTCCCGACATCCTGCCACTAGGTGCCCTGTGATGCTGGTGGTAGGAGACCAAGCGCCTCATGAAGATGCAGTGGTCAGTAGGGGATTTGGGGTGGTGAAGGATGGTTGGGGTGCAGGGGTGGCAGTCAGAAGGGCATCTTGCCAAGGGGCAGGCTCTGTTAGGGAGAGGGAGATTGGCTTGGGGACATTAAGAATTTTGATTTCTGAGGAGGAACTGGGTAGGGGGCTTATAGGGAAAGAGCCTGGGGTCAGGGTCCCTTGTAGGGGAGGGGCGTGGAGAGGGTGAGCTCATTCATTCAGCCTCTGTGCACTGCAGGTGGAATGCAACTCAAAACTGGACCCCACCCAGACCTCGTTCCTGAAGGTCAGTTACCCCCGCTTTGCACTCAGCCCAGCTTCTGGCCTCCATCCGGGGCCATGTGTCCTGTCAGCTCAGGTTGTGCATGAGCGAGTGGGGTGAATGAAGGAGGAGACGGAGGGGTTGGGTTGAGGAAGCTAGAAAAGCGAGACCCTTTTTTGCCTCCGCGTGGATAAGTGACTTACATGTACTTTTTCTGAGCAGATGGCTGACTCTGGAGGTCAGCCCCAGCTGACTCAGGTGAGTACCCTGCGGACACACACTCATTCCCGTACGTCCGTGAGCACAGGCTCCCGCATAGCCTCTAACCTCCCTCCCCTTGTCCCTCTGCTTATCTTACGCTTCCAGCCAGGCAAGCTGACCGAGGCCTTCAAGTACTTCCTGCAGGGCATGGGCTACAGTGAGTATAGGGACTGAGGCCATCCTGAGGGATGTGCAGGGAGGGGCTGGAACCTATAGGTGAATCTCTAGACTCACAGCCCCCTGCCGAATCAAGCTCACTGACTTCCTGGCCTCCGCTGCGATTCTGGTTTCCACCCAAGCAGCCTGCTCTGAGTTGCCAGCTCCCTTCCCCTCTCCTCTCTGACTGCTTGCTCTCCCATGTCTCCACAGTGGCCTCATCCTGCATGACTCGCTTGTCCAGGTCGCGCACAGCCTCTCTGACCAGCGCCACGTCCATTGATGGCAACCGGTCCCGCTCCCGCACCCTGTCCCAGAGCAGCGAGTCCGGGCCTCTCCCTCCAGGGCCCCCAGGACACACCATGGAGGTCTCCTGCTGAGTGACCCCCGTCGCTCTGGTGCGGACCCGGGCCTCACCTCCTGCAGCACTAACCTCGGAGGTGCACAAGGGCTTCGGGTGAGAGTTGGCAAGGAGAGAGGGCAGGACACGCGAGGAGATGACATTGATCTTTTGATTGCTACCCTAACCTTGACCTTTAACCTGTGAGTTTCTCACTTCTGGGAGAGATGTCCTAATATCTCTTAGGGACCCAGACCCCTAAAGAATCCCCTCTTCCATGTTGGTGTGGTGAAGGCATGCACTCTCCCGCCCTGATCCAGGTGTTGGTGGAGGAGGGGTCAGAGGCGGCTATTGGCACGGTGCCTCCATCAGACTCTCCCTGTCTATCCCATATATGCAAGGGCGGGGGGCTTGGGGCTGGGGCTGCATTCATCAAAGCTGATGCGGCTTCTCATTAACCAGCCCCCGCGGGAATGGGCCTCAATAGATGTGTGGGGGGAGTCTTGGCAGTGGGTTAGTGGTTGTCAGGATGTGATGGAAACACCCAGGGTGTAAAGCAGGGAGGTGGCAGGGGAGTGGTGGGCGGTGAGTGAGTATGGTGGAAGGACTGGAGCAGAGGGGTAGGAAGAGGCCTGGGGCCATTTGGCTGCACTAACTTTGGTAGCTGTCATTGTGCGTCTAGAGTCGGGAGAGGGAGGGAGCCAAGCTTGGTCCAGGCTGCTTGGGGCTTGGCAGTGGGGTGGGAAGGATGACCCCAGATCTCTGACCGCACTGTTAGGTGTGGCAGGTGGCTTCCTGTCTCCCACAACTTCTGCTGTGACAATAAACTGTAGAGGAATCTGCACACCATTATTGTTCGTGGTCTGAGTGTTCTGCATCACGCTCTTTCCCACTTTCTCCTTGCTTAACCCTCATGTTCTCTTTGCAGGTGACAGAAACCAGGGCAGAGGCTTATGTAGCGCAAACACTTCCACAGACTGACGGCATTCGAGCTGGTCCCTGTGCCAGAGTGGTAGTTCTTCTTGGTAGTACTTCTAAGGTTGGAGGAGAGGAATTGCTTACATTGTAGAAGACTTGCTTAGCAGTTTAGAGTCATTGAGAAGGGGTACTGAAGTTCAGAGATACCACCACCATCACGGTCTTTGAGCAGTAAAAAAAGCTGACTGAAATGTCTGAGGATGGCTTGCAACCCACACCGTCTTGCAGGGTGCTACTAGGGACTACCTGGATTCCTCTTTTCATGATAAAATACAGTCAGCAGACTGGGACTCATCACAGGGCTTGTGCTCCTTGTAGTTCACCCCATTCTAAAGGCTTTCAGGAGGGTCATAGTAAAAGGGGTGTGTGTGTATTGGGAGGGTGTTCCTGTCCAAAACTCCCCTTACTTCATAGAATCCTTGTGATCTGGGCGCTAGTTAGACTATATTTGTAGTCTAAGCTTTTTAGCAAACGTGAATCAAGAAACAAAATGTGAATCATCAAGAGGAAGGGAATTGAGATACCTAATGGCTGGAGGTTAATTCGTGGCCTCTCGAGACGTGAAATAGAAATGGAAAGGTGCTTTATAGCATTACTGGCAAGAATGCTGTGTGTAGAGTATTACAAGATCATTACAAGTTCGCTTTATAAACTCCACGGGCGGTCAGACTCCATCTCAGTGAAAACTAGGCTGAGGCCCGACACAGCTGAGAGTCCAGTGCTAACATACTGATTTGTCGTGAGCCACAGGCTGTATCTCAGATTTTTTAATTTTATTTTTGTGCAGTAGTGGGGATTGAACTCAGGTTTTATACAAGCGAGGCAAGTGTTCTACTCCTGAGCTACTTTGAGACATGGTCTCACTAATTTGCCCAGCTTGGCTTGAATTTGTAGTCCTCCCATGTAGGTGGGATGGTAAGTGTGTGCTGCCATGCCGTGTGCCTTGCTTGTTCCTGAGTCTGCCCCTAGGCTCCCCTGCCCCCCAGTGCTGGGCATCAAACCCAGGAGCTTAAACATAGTGGGGAAACATTCTACCTATAAACTACATCTCTGGCCCTGAGTGCATTTAAATATAGTAGGGTGAGAAAAAGGAGGGATATGGGGCATTTCAAGGTGGGTGGAGCTAACTATTGCGTGGGTATAAGGTGACCACGTGGAGGGCAGAGGACAGAGTGATGAAACAGCCATGGAAAGAATAGAAACAACGTGGGTGGAATCTCTGGGGTCAGTAGCTCCCAGGCAAAACAGGCAGAGTACGGAGGCTAGCATCAGCCTGTGCTGGCAACGCCAGTCGTGCGTTATGGAGTGGAAGGCAGGTCTTTCCAGCATGTCTGCCTGGCACAGGCCACACTGTTAGCAGGGCAGTCCACAAATGGGAGCAAATCACAGTTCTGAGTACACACATGCACATACTTTTCACACAGGTGATCGTGTGAAAGAGGTGGTGACTTTTTCCCATAGATGTCTCAGCACAAGAACTTAAGAGTTAGTAAGAGGACAGATGGTGCGCTGGCAGGCAGGGAGGGGGTTTGCCGTCCTTGACTGACCTCCCCACGTTCCCTTCTAACCTGTGGAGACGCAGTGCCCTCCTGTGGCGCACAGCGTTTTTAGTAACTTTCTGCAGTTCTGTTCCCTTCTAGGGTTCCCTCATTGCTCTCGTGGTTCTGCCTAGTAGTTATACAGGGAGGTCCCAGTAACCATGGCTGTGTGCCTTGTGTTCATTCTTTTTTTTTTTTTTTTTTTTTTTTTGGTTTTTCTCCGGTACCAGGAACCGAACTCACGACCTTGCACTTGCCAGGCAGGCGCTTTTGCCGCTGAGCTAAATCCCCAGCCCCGCCTTGTGTTCATTCTTAAGGTGAGAGCTCAGAGGCCTGGTGGCTCGGGGTGGGAGGTGATTTGACAGCACCTGAACCACACACTTCCTCATTTTTCTGTCTGCTTCAAGTTTAGGACTCCTGCTTACCTCGTTCCTCCCTTCCTAAGAATGTGAGTGCTTCCCACAGTTCAGGGACAGAGGCTCAAAGAATGTTCAGTGGCAAGGAAATAAAACTAGAATAGATTGAAGAGTCTTACTTGTTTTCGCTTGAAAATTCTGTATCTCATAAACATTTTCAAGGGCGAGTCTCTGCAGGTGTAGTCATGTGCCACGATGGCATTTGTTCCACAAGGGGCCACGTGTGAGACAGCAGCTCTGTAAGGTTCTCTTGCCTGATGACCTTACAGCTTTCTTAGTTTGTGTAAACACATTCCATGAGACAGAATCATTTCATGATGCATTTCTTAGAACCTTTCTCATCAAGCAACATATGACTGTACCTATAAAACAGTAAAACTACAGTGGCAGGGACCGGTGTTAAACCTTGGGGAGTAATAGGGAAGATGTCGAAATGGAAGACCTCACTTTTCTAGAGAGATTTCACAATTGCCTGGAAAATGAGAGTCGGTTCTGAAGAGAGGCCAGGGGTGTGGTACCAGAGCAAAATAATTTATGTATACCTACTCTTCTCGTTAATACTGGAATTTTTCCCAAGTTGTATAAACATACAATGAAAGTGGAATGCATTCTGTGTTGGACACGCGGTAAATCTAAAGACAGTGACTCCAAACAATTAAAATTTAAAAACTTAATCTATGGTGTTGGTGTAAGCACACCACAGACCGTGCTAAGGGTGCCATTCCTCTCCGCAGTCCCCACACTTAGTTACTGAGGGTGTCTGGGTGACGGCGCACCTGCGGTTGCCAACCCACTGAAGTTCTGGCAGCTGTTCTGTCAGACGAGAGCCTGGAGCAAGGGCCTGCTTCCTGCTGGGGGCGAGGGAAGAAGAACCCCCAAAACTGTCCTTCCCCCTTCCTTTCTCTTTATTTTTTGTTTTTTTTTCCGGTACCAGGAATCGAACTCACTACCTCGCAATTGCTAGGCAGGTGCTGTGCCCCTGAGCTAAATCCCCAGCCCCTCCCTTTCTCTTTCTTTTCTCTTCTTTTCTCCCCTCCTTTTCTTCTTTTCCTCTCTTTTTCTTTCTTCATAAATTGTCCTCCTACAACTGCAGTATCCAAACCAAACCCTTACTTGAGAGCAGAGGAAAGTGGGGCGTTCCAAAGGTTGAGGCCAGAGAACGACCTACTGGTGGTGGAACTGGAACGCTTGCCCGTAGAAAGGACGGCAGTTGTAGGCCTTGTTCTGTTTTCTCCCTAAGTCTATAAGAATTCAAGCATGGAAGGAGAAAATGATGGATGAGGACAAGTGACAGTGATTGAGATGTGAAAATTACCCCACATAAATTTTCTCCTGATTGTCCCAGCTCGCTTCCCCACTTCATATCCCCCCCCCCCCCCCCATTCTACTTGTCTTAACTCTCACCATTCTAGCTCTCTTCTGACGCATGGTTCCTAAAGGCTGCTGGAGTCAAATCTCACCCCGCCTCTCTCTGCCCATCACCGTGCTCCGCCTTCCCTCCTGTCCTGTGGCCACAGTGGCTGTTCTCCGGCGTTCTTGTTTTATCACATTTCACCCTGTCCCCCTGTGGCTCTCTGCAGCTCTTTGTTGGGAATTCATGTCTTTTGAAAATGTGCAAAATATTGTTTCCTTTCCCTGCTATTCTCCCCTGCTGCTCTCTACACGGAGCTGCTCTCTGGCTTTCTTCCAGCTCTTGATACAACAGGATTCAAACTAAAGCTGATTCTAGGCTTCGTTGGTGAGAATTTGGGGGAAAGGAAACAAAATAAACTTGAGGAGAAAGGAAAGCATTGGTAGCTAATGCAGAAGAGTCTAAGGGGAGTGAATCCAAGGCTTTACGGATCGAAGAAGGCAAACAGTGCATGATTCATCAGTGCTTAAAATATCCCAAGCTCCGCCTCATTTATTTCAAATGCTGATAGCTTGAGTGACCCAGACACACCTGGAGAAAGCCTTGCTCGTCTAATGTACTGCTGTGTAAGTCTCTCTTCTATAGTCTTATGTCCTAGAAATAGCTCTGTAGCTTCCGTATGATCATATTCCTTTATTTTTACATTTTTTCTTTTTTTTGAGACAAGGTCTGTCTATGCAGTTCAGGCTGGCCTTGAGCTCACTTTGTAGCCTAGGCTGGCTTCAAATTGGCAATGATCTTCCAGCCTCAGCCTCCCAAGTGCTGGGATTACAGGTGTATGCCACCATGCCTGGCTATTTTTTAAATTTTTAAGAAAATTTTTTGAGATAGGGTCTTACTATGTAGTTCAGGCTGGCTTTGAACTCACTATGAAGTGAGTCCAGCCTGTTTTTGAACTCACAGCTTCCCAAGGACTGGAATTACAGGCGTGTACCACCACACCTGGCAGTCATATTCCTTTTAATCCATCCCTGGGAAAGCCCTGGCAAGATCACTTAAATTGAAAGTAGCACAGAAGTTATGCCCCATGAGGTTGGCCTGTCTGCAACACACCAACAGACTTTTCTGTCTCCTGGCCTCTTGGATTTCCCAGTAAGACACTAGCAGTAGCTAGCAAGTCAAAGAACAGACACTAGCAGGTCAAAGAACAGGAGAGTGAACTTCTTCCCCTGGCTGCCCTTGTTGGGTCCCTGTGGTTGGCTACATCCCTCTACTAAGGCTACTTCCTGCATAGCCCTCTCTACCCTTTAGTTTCGGTTAACTCTCCTTTCTCTTCAGTGGCGGTTACAGCACTGTGTATACTCAGCCCCCGGAGTATTACGTCATCATTTCTTGCCTGGTCAAAGCCTTGTGCACACCTTACTAAACACTCCCTTTAGTAGACTTGCCTCAGTTATGTGCTATTGTCTGTCTTCTGGGATCCTAACCTCCTATCCCAGGAGATGGGAGTGGGGATTAAAGCTGAGGAAGGAGAATAGAACCTCAGTATTGAGCACTTCGAATTGCAGAAACATGGGTTTGGAGCCCAGAGAACCATGTGATCGCATTATTTGACCTTCCTAAGTGCCCTTTTCCTTAGGCATACTACAGGAATATCTACCTGTCGGACTTGTGAAGATGAGATACTGAACACAGAAGCAATAGTACCATGTCTGGCATGTAGCAGTGCTCAGTGTAGAGCTACGTTCTACACGCCTGGCACTCCTCTGAGCATATCACATGCTCCTGCATTTCATACACAGAGAAAACCCGCAACAAGGTGGTGCTGCAGAGAAATGCTTTCCTGTGTTTAGCACATTTATATCGGCCCGTCAGTGTAGCACCTGTTGTGCATCTATTTTGCTGGAAGCTGATCCCTGGGTGTGTAAACGGGGCTTGTAAGGAGGCTTGCACATTTAATTTGTGGGGAGAGAGGCGAGAGGGAAAGGAAATGAAGACTAAGGTAAGGACGGACTCCGTGTGAGCTGCTTTGGGCTTCCCTACTCAGAACTGTAGAAGGGAGATCTCTGAGGCTGAGTGAGCCCCTGGGGTGCATCTCCTCTTTCGTCATTCTCCTCTGACACAGTCCTCCACCTCAGAGGGGTGCGGGCTGGGCAACAGTCACCTTGTTCCTCAATTCCAGGCAATCTGCCTTTTTGTTTAACCTTAGCAGTATTTTTTTTAGCAGTTTTTAAGGGAAGCAGCACATGCAGGGATTTCTCAAACTGGAAGGAAGACGGAAAGGAACACTGTAAGAGCCAAGTAACCACCCTACCCATTACCTTTCCCTCACCACACACACTGCCTTTTAACCCTGTAGCCTGAGGCAGCCAGAAGACAGAGGCTCAAGGACAGCAACTGTGCCCTGGAGACCACTGGGGGTTCAGTGTGAAAACCATAGGAGCTTGATGGAGCTGGCCCCAGGAAGCCTGGTGCTCTCCAGCCTGCCGGGCACACCCAGGGTGCAGACAGCTGGTGCTGGGGATGGGGGTGTGGGGGGTGGGGGGTGGGTGGAGGAACAATGGATCCCCAGGTTCTGTTTCAAAACCTGTTTCCCTTTAAACACCGGGAGTGCTGATTCATTTCCTCACCTTCCGCGGGGACGGTGGGAGGAGGCTGCCGCATCTCAGAGATGCTTTCTTATCTGGGGCATGGTCTGCAGTGGACCAAATGGACAGGGCCCTGATTCTGGAAGACAGTGCATCCAGCGTTCACCTTCCCACTTCCCATTCTACCGCCTCCTGTACCAGACTGCTTCTAGCCAACTGGGAAAAATGAAACAACATGACTGAAGGGGAGGGGTCAGATGGGCCTTTATTGTGTATAGCAGCATAAATCCGACCAGAGGTCAGTCAGGAGTGATGCTCTTTGTGTCTGTTCTCCAGCGAACAGGCGTTCAAACAACACCCTTTTCTCAGTCTAAGTGACAAAAGGAATGTCACGTAGGTAAAAAGCTGGAGTCTGGTCCACGGACGGGATGCCTAACAAATGTCACTGTCTTAGTGCAAAAATGTCTGAGGGCCAAAGCCACTTGGGAGGTGTCCCTTGTGGGTAGGGAGAGTTCCTCCCAAGTAGATGGATCCATCAAAAGAGTCAGGAATCACTTAGGCCCACATAGCAATAAAGGCCATGAAGGTGAAACCAGCAGCTACGCAACCCCATTTAGCCAGAGGGGCCTCACTGCTACTTAGCTCGCGGGGCAGAATTTCTAGAAATGTCACATACAGGAATGTGCCAGCTGCGAGACCCTCTAATATGGCCTGGGCTAAGCCCTTCCACCCTTCAGAATCCCCTGCAGCTATGGTCATCCCTAGGGCTAGGCCCAAGGGGGACATGAAAGCTAATGACAGGATGGAGGATGTGGCCCATCGAGCTCCAGTGCCTATCTTTATCAGCCGCAGCGCTACACCAAACACTACCAGCCCCTTATGAGCCAGGACAGCAAGACAGAGCTGCACAGTAGCGGCTATTGTTGGCTGGAGCCCCACGGCCAGCCCTTCAAACACCGAGTGAAAGGAGAGTGAGAGCAAGAGCACAAAGGCTCGAAAGGGACTCTGCTTAGGTGAGCGCAGAGATTCATGGGTGTGGAAGTCAAAGGCAGGATTCCCACCCCATTCCTCCTCCTGCACTGTTGACTGTCCTGCGGCACCCTGGCAGCACTGCAAGGCCAGTGACTCCAAAAGGAAGACAAGGAAAAAGCCCAGGGAGATGACGAGTTCTCCACAGGGGTACTGCACCTGGGGACAGAAAGAGGGCTGTGAGACGGGAGAGGAAGGGAAGACAGGGATCTTGGGGGACTGAAGAGAACGGCAGAATGTGACAGAACATAAAAGGGGCAGGGCTATGAAACCGAAGACGTGCGATAGTGAGCCAGAGGGGATAAGGACACAATATCAGTGGTGTTAGACAGACAGAAGCGCAATGGGAAGACCGTCAGAGAGGGTGCAGGGAATGGGGGCTGGGGATTTAGCTCAGTGGCACAGCGCCTGCCTAGCAAGTGTGAGGTCATGAGTTCGATTCCCGGTACCGGAAAAAAGCCAAAAAAAAAGGGTGCAGGGAAGGAAGGTCTTGGTAAGGCAGGAGTTTTTCTGGGCTCCACAGCAGGAAAAGACCAGGTTGGCGCATCCTTTCCTCTACACTGTCTGACCCGGGAGCAGAAGGAACTCACACAGGCCTTCAGAAGGACCTGGGTGTGAAAGAATCTGATTCTCCTCACCCTGCAGATGGAGGCTGGTGGGAAATACTTACAAAGGCTGAGCCAGCATCATTAGAAGAATTTCCCTTGGTTCTTGTTCTGTTCTAGCGAGAAAGACACCAGTATTAGTTGGGAGATGAACAGCTCAACTTCCCGTCCTGTCCTGTCCACAGCACTGCTTTTCTTAAAGGCCAACCTGATGTGCTTTCACCACTCTCACAGCACAGAGCTGGCACCTTCCCTGCTGCCCCATCCCTGTCCTTGGCTCCATCTCTTTCCAGCCTTGCTTCCCTGGATTCTGTTTCTCATTCAGGCCCCACAACCCTGCAGCTTAGCAGCTGTGGCTCACCTGCCCCACGAACTTCTGGATCTCTGACTCAATTCCCTCCAGGGCTTCGGCAGTCATGTGCATGAGACCTGCTCCCAGGAAAACACCAGCAGAAGTGCAGCCCAAGAGGCTGAGGACTCGCCGGTGGCGACCTAATACAAAGTAGAAGTTACAGTCCAGCTGGTACTGAGGAGGTGAGAAGGATGGAAGGGCAAGGGGCAGCACCCTGAGCTTCAGGACGGTCAGAGAATCAGCAAAGAATCAGGACAGGGTCCCGTGAGACTCAGGTTAGGGACGAAGATGGGGTGAGGCTCTACCTGTGGCTGCATCAATCTTGAACCACTTGGAGCAGATGGGACTCAGGCCGCAGACAAGGGTGAGAGCCAGCAGGGCAAAGAGGCAGCCCAGTTTTACCCCTATGAGTGACTCCATCCTGGGATGCAAAAGCAGAGGCCTCAGAGTGACAAACGGAACTGAAGCAGAGCCTTAGGTGATCAAAGCCGAGCCGTCCCCACTTCCCTGAGTTTCAGGAGACTTGGTATCTTCCCCTCCAGGTTGCCTCTGGCTGAGCAGCGTTGCGCAGCTGACAGCTGAGGAGGGTGCTGCCCCAGCTGCCCTCCTCTTTGCGTGGGGCCCTCCCCTAGCTCCCGCCTCGCCTCCTGAGCTCCTAAACCAGAAACTCCAGACTCGCTGCCAGGCACAGCTCAGTGCCGGCTCCTCTTCGATGCCTTGACTAATCCGAGAACTCTGGATAATCTAGTTCATGCCTAGGTTGAACGTTTTGCATTGGTCTAGCCCAAAATGGGAGTCTTTTTTGGCGGGGGCGGGGGGATTTCCAGTACTGGGAATTGAACTCATGACCTTGCACTTGCCAGGCAGGTGCTGTGCCGCTGAGCTAAACCCCCAGCCCCCGAAATGGGAGTCTATGGTAGCCCAGCTATGTGGTACTGGGGGCAATCTGGTCCTGCCTCACTCAGGACACTGCTCTAAGCCTGCAGTATGCTCCGCTCCATCCCAAGTCTCACAGGTGGCTGTGCTGATACCCGAACCGGACACTTTCAGAGGGGATTTGGGGCAACCCGGGCAAAGAGGCAGGGCTGAGAGCTGGCGTTGCTGCCACTCTGCTGGAACTGGTCGGTGAAGGGGCTCCCCTTTCCTGTATCTCCAGAAAAACGGCTCCGAGTATGGAAAAATCTAGGGAGAGTAGAGATTCCTAGTGTTGTAACATTGGTCTATCACTTCTGGCTGTCTGTAACTAAGCCCTCATAATAATAGGGCTCTTTCCTCCCCTAAGAGGCTTGAACCACTCTACCTCCTAAAAGTTAAAAAACAAAACAATAGGTAGAACACATTTCCTCTTGATATAGAGGAAATAAATAAACTCCCAGTCTGCTAGATGTCAGATATGCTGAGTTTGTGTTTCCTGAAATTGAAGAATAAATTTTAAGGAACCACTAAGGTTAAGAGTAGGAAATAATTACTGAGCGAGAAGAGGAGGAGAGAGAGACAGAGACAGAGACAGACAGAGACAGAGAGAAACAAAGACAGAAAGAAGAGAGAGAGACAGCTCCTGAAAGACAGGAGAAGACCCAAAAGTAGGTTGCCAATGAGTCCACTTTAAAAAAAAAGTTTTACGGAAAAAAAATCATAAGTAGGTACAAAATCACAAGGTGGATACAGCATGGGACAAAACCATGATCAAACAATAAGATTACAAATATAGCCACTTAGGTAATATTGATCCAATAGAAAAGCAGGTCACATAGTAAACGTATATAAAAAGAACAGAGACCTTTTTTAGAAAAGGATGGAGAAGGGGCTCTCAGTTGCCTACCAGGGAGACTGATGTCTGTCTAGACTTTGTTAGACTAGGTGTTACCACTTATCGTGTCCGCTGGGGAGGTATGTAGGCCTGCTCATTTCATCTTTGAGGCCTGGTTTTAACAGATGCATCTCCAGCCAGCATTATAATGTGTTTTCATCCTTGACACTGACTCCCTCGAGGACCTAGCCCCATCTGACTGCCTATAATATTTTTACCTAATGTAGCTGTCTGTAATACTCTGATCAAGGTGACCCATGTCCCTGTTGCCTTTCCTATAATTATCAATTTCTAACCCTGTTATTTTTGTCACACAGGGAGATTTCCAAGCTTGATTTGCAGAAATGTAGATTGCTCAGTGGTCTGCCAGATGTTCACTGGTGCCAAAAGTATGAAACCTCTAATTTTTAGGAACTTGTGAAACTATCAGTTTTTCCCCCGGACTCTCCCTTCTGTCCCCTTGCCCTTATATAACTCAGCCACACTCTCTGGGGTCATGTGGACTTGAGGCAAACCCCAGCCTTCTCAGTGCGCTCTTTCTCCATTAAACTTCTCCATTCCAAGCACCAGCGCTCAGTGGTTGATTGGCTGCTGCCCCTCAGGCTCATGAATCTTTTTTTTTTTTTTTTTTCGGTTTTTCTCCGGTACCAGGAACCGAACTCATGACCTTGCGCTTGCCAGGCAGGCGCTTTGCCGCTGAGCTAAATCCCCAGCCCTCAGGCTCATGAATCTGACTTGGGGTTTAGTAACATTTCCCGATGTGAACTGTGGGAGAGGTACTTTGAGGGTGAAGAGGTACTTTGCTCTAGCCATGAAACAGTAAGATCAAGGAGAAAACGGAAATGAACCAAACAAATAGAAGGGTCCTGCCTGGATATGTGGGGTGGAGACAGGCAATTCAGTCCTGATATAACCAGCACTGCAAAGTAAAATTTTACGGGTTAGTTTTTGTTGTTTTTTCAATTTTACATAACAACACTCTCTCCTTTCTTCAGCCCAAAAGAAGTGACAGAACGTGCAGATACCAGCCCCAGGAGGCCAGGAGATCTGGAGATCTGCGTTACCCCTGTGTCCCCCTGTCCTCTGTTCCTTACTACAAAAGAACCCTGCCCACGTGTACACAGTGGGATGGTGATCTGAGGTGAATTGGCCCCGCCATCTCTTCAGAGCTAGCTTTGAATAAATCCCTTTTCCTGTTTACCCAAATCAAACAACCCCCTTTGACTTGGTTAGCAGTGAGCAGATGAACCTACAAATGAGTCTAAGTGGCAGGTCACACTTTTGATGACCTCTGCAGGACTATACTGGTTTTTTCTTTCATACTAGAGGCCTTCAGCAATAGAGCCAGGAAAAGATGTATAAACTTGTGACCAGTTACTCTAAGTTTTAGCACAGTGAAAAATCTTAAATCCTGGAGTAAGAGCTTTTAAATTGACTAAGACTTATTCAGTTAAGACAGAAAGAAAAAAAACTTCAGGAAATTCAAGCTTAGATTAACAATGCAAACAACTGCACTCTCCTTTGCAACCAATGTATATTTCTCACCTGCTACAACCTGGAATTCTACCTTCAGAATAAAATTTAAGTGTAATCTCAGTCCTCAGAAGGCTGAGGCAGGAGGACAGCCATGAGTTCAAGGCCAGCCTGGGCTCCAACATGAGTTCAAGGCCAGCCTGAACTGCAGACCTTGTCTCAAAAAGAAAAAAGCAAAGATTAATAGGTGTTGCTTAGAACTGTAAAAAAGAAAACCATGCCAATAATATAGCTATTTATTTATTTATTTATTGAGACAGGTTCTCACTGTATAGGCTGGCTTTGAACTCACTGTATAGCCCAGGCTGGCCTCAAACTCATGACTGCCTCAGCCTCCCTAGTGCTGGGATTATAGCTGTGTGTCACCACACCTGACTCTAACTTTTTAAAAGGTAATAAATGGTAACTTCAAGTCTTTATGTGTTGGCACGAATATGTGTATTATGTTATGTCCTACATGTGTTCTTGGTTTGTATACTGTTTAGGTGGTACCAGATTAATTTAAAAAGTGCTCTGTAACTAAAAAAGCATAAAAAAAATAAAAAAGCATAAATCCAAATGCTTTTTTGTTCACAGGATTTAGGAAAATGTTCTAAAAAAAGTAACATAGATGTCCTCAACTGTTAATGTGTATTTTGCCTGTGTTAGCCAATCAGAGTTATATCTTAGGTACTTGATTTAAAAAAAAAAACAAGAAAAAAACCTCTTAGAAAAAAATTTCTTAGTTTCACAAAGGTTATTAAAAAAAGATTAAAGAGCATAGAGAGAATATAATTAAAATTTTTGAGTTTGTCAGAAGACTTAAAAGACCCTTGGAAATTAGAGTCAGTTGGACACTGCAGTAATAGCACTGGCTTGGTGTTCATTTGTTTTTTGCTTTTTGAGACAGGGTTATGCTCTGGCTGGCCTTGAACCATGCCCAGCTTAACATTATTTTATTTAAAAGTTTAAATTGTTTAGCTTCTTGCTGGACATGGTGGCTCATGCTTGTAATCCCAGCACTTGGGAGGTGGAGGCAAGAGGATCGTTGCGAGTTTGAAGCCAACCTGGGCTACAAAGTGAGCTCAAGGCCAGCCTGAACTGCATAGCGAGACCCTGTTTCAAAAAAAAGAAATTGTTTAGCTTCTCAGAAAGTGTTATATAACAATAGTCAGTATACAGGCTGCTTCTAGTATTAGTGGAAGATGTCCTAAGAGGCAGTATTTTGCTAGACATTGATTGAAAACTAGGGTTTATAACAAAAATGGTTTTTATTAAATCCCTGATTTAAAAAAAAAAAAAAAGCAAATCAGCTGGACCTGGTGGTACACGCCTGTAATCCTAGCACTCAGGGAGGCTGAGGCAGGAGGATCGATGTGAGTGTGAGCCCAGCCTGAGTTGTACAGTGAGTTCAAGACCAGCCTGAACTACATAGCAAGTTCCTGTCTTAAAAATTTAAAAAAATGCAAATCATGCTTTTCATGAATAGCAGGTAAAAGTTCAGGCCTGTCTATTTCCCATTGTTGCAGGACATACTTATTTGAGCCACCAGAGAAGGCCGGCTAGAGAGACAAGCAAGTTTATTAGATGGTGGTCTCGGCCCAGTACATGACCAAGCATGGACCCTGAAGGGCAGGGGGGGAGAATATTTATTATTCTAGTTCTGGGTGTAGGGAGGTGACTAGGTTTTTTCTGATATGATTTAGTGCAGACACAGAAATACTCCTACAAAACATGGGCTTAGCTTGTGACAAAGAAACAAAGATGTTTGACATTCTAAGTAGGGAACAAGCAGTCTTATGACAGAGCATGGGGTGGTATCGGGTCAGGTAACTATGACAACATTTACCAGAAACAAGTGTAAGGAAACAGAAATGTGAGCTCTAACATGGTGCCTGGGTACAGCACGGCGTCAGTTTGGTTCTTTTCCCAGCCTCACTATTCCCGTCTATATCAAGGCTGCATCAGTATTGGGACTGGTTTGTTCCAAAAGGTTTTCAAGGCTGCTGTTATTACTATTACTATTATTTATTTTTTGATGCAAGGTCTCCCTACGTAATCAGTTTGGCCTTGAACTCCTTATGTAGCCCAGGCTGGCCTTGAACTTGCAGTGCTCCTCATGCTTCAGTCTCCTAAGTGCTAGAATTACAGGCATGTGTCACCATGCCTCGCCTAAGATAGTTTATTTATGGTGACATAAAAATTTGGTTAAAAGTAATTCATTGAATCAATATAAACATTCAAGTTCAAAAGCCCTTCCTAACCCTTCAAAGATCTTTATATTGTTATATAAATACATATATATTTTATTTTAAAATTTTATTTATTTATTTATTTTTTTCCCTTTAGTCTTTTTGAGACAGAGCGTCACTATACAGTTCAGGCTGGCTTTAAGCTCACTTTGTAGCCTGAGCTGGTCTTGAACTCCCAAGGATACTCCTACCTTAGCCTCTGGTGTACTGGGATACATTACTATATTATATATAGATACAATTTTAAAAGCTGACTAAAACTTTTAAAAGATTTTTCCTCAGCAAAAAAAAGTTTTGAGATACTGTCAGATGTTTTACATTTTATGACAATACAGCGCTGATTGTTAAAAATTAAATATATAATTAAAACATCTAAGTCTTACAATTAAGTTAAAGCACTAAAAAATTTGCTAAATACACTGTTTCTTAAACTTTATAAATAGGTGCCGGGCATGGTGGCACACGTCTGTAATCCCAGCACTTGGGAGGCTGAGGCAGGAGGATCGTTGTGAATTCGAGACCAGCCTGTGCTACAAAGTGAGCTCAAGGCCAGCCTGGACTGCATAGCAAGATCCTGTCTCAAAAAGACCAAAAAAAAAATTATAAATAGTATTTGAGTTTACTAAATATATTTCATATATTGTTGGTATATATCTGTATAACACTGATATAAGATCAAAAGATATCTGATTCTTTTCATATGCTTAAAATAACTATTAAAGAGAAAGTATTCATTCTTATTTTATTTATTTATTTTTGAATTAGGGTCTCACTATGTAGTTCAAGGTTGCCTTAAACTCACTGAGTAGCTCTGGCTGGCCTCAAATTTGCTGTGATCCTCCTCAGATCCCCCTTCTGAGTACTGGGATTTCACACATGCCACCACACTCAGCTAGTAAGTATTTAAAAGTAGAGACCTTTGTCAGACTGGTTTTGTTAACTGGTTAAAAATGAACTAAAAAGTAAGTCCGAGGGCTGAGGATGTAGCTCGGCAGTACAGCACTTGGTTAGCACATGTGAAGCCTTGGTTCAATCTTTGGTGCCACTAACACATATATACACACATACACACACAGTCCTCTCAAAAAACCCAGAGAACAAAAACCAAGTAAGTCTCAAAGCCAGGATTTTATCTCTTCATTTTAAAAGATCTGCTGGGCATGGTGGTGCTTGCCTGTAATCTCATGCCTGGCTCTTTTTTGGTTTTATGTCTGTTTATAACCTTTGTAACTATTGTTTGTCCAAGTTCTAATGTTTTAGGGTGCTGACTACAGAACAGACAAGATTAAACTTGACAGTGAACTCTAAATAAACAGCCTAAGAGCCACTCGTTCACTGCTCATATTTGGCAAAAAGGGTTTTATGCCGACTCCAATCGTCTGCCACACCGTCCCAAGTGGGACGTGTTCCGACCACCACTGGGAAAAGCTACCACACGCTGCAGGGCAAGGCTACAGATGTTCAATGATATCTTCTCAGAGTCAGGGGGCAAAGTCCCAAGCATCAGAGTCACCTCTGTCAACCCCACCAAAGTAAGCAGAGCTGTAAAAATTATAAAGGAGTTCTTATGCCCGACTGCCTGGAAGTCATAAAATACCCTACCCTTCTAACAGGCATTTTCTAACTTGGGCTTTTTTTTTAAAGGAAGAGAGGTTTATTTTGGCTCACAATTTCAGTGAGTCTGGTACATGGCTGGCTGGCTCCAAGGCAGAAAATGTACAGTGGAAGGGCCTGGCAACATGGTCGGTAGGAAGCAGAGACGATTCTTTTGTATTTTTTTTTTCTTTTTTTTGGTTTTGGTTTTTTTCCCTGTACTGGGGATGGAACTCACGACCTTGCGCTTGCTGGGCAGGCGCTGTGCCGCTGAGCTAAATCCCCAGCCCCTTTTCTTCTGTATTAGACTTCACACTCTTCAGCAATACCTTAGCAGCGCAGGCATCTGGCTTTCCCTTGCTGCTGTTCCAGCTCCTTGTGGTAAGATGTGCACACCAGTCCAACATGACACAGCAGCCAGGTGATGTGGCACCTGACAGCCCTCAAGACAGAGGGCTAAGTAAACAAGGGGAGCATTGTAACCTGTACTGCAAAATAAAACTAACAACCACCCTCCCTCTCCTTAGCCCAAAAGAAGTGACAGAACATGCAGATACCAGCCGCAGGAGGCCAGGAGTCACAGCATCAGGTTGGAGATCTGCATTACCCGTGTCCCCCACTCCTCTGTTCCTTACCTAAGAAGACCCTTGCCCACATGTACAGGGTGGGCTGGTGTTCTGAGGTGAATAGGCCTCTCCATCTCTTCAGAGCTAGCTTTTGTTTTGTTTTCTGGTACCGGGAATCGAACTCATGACCTCGTACTTGCCAAGCAGGCGCTGTGCCGCTGAGCTAAATCCCCAGCCCCCAGAACTAGCTTTGAATAAATCCCTTTTCCTGTTTACCCAAATATATGACCCTCTTTGATGTGGCCAGCAATGTGCAGAAGAACCTACAAACAGGAGGCTCACTATGAGGTAAGCCTGAACTACACAGTGGGCACAAGGTCAGCCTGAACATAGCAAGACCCTGTCTCACAGGATGGAGAGGGGAGATAAAGAAAAATGAGTTAAATAGCTGCTGTTTCCTGTCAGGAGCACAGAAAAACCGGGACTTGCTGAGCCAGTTCTCAAAGAGCTGTCCCCATTTTCTTCAAGGTTGCTGCAGTCTCTGGTAGAGGCAGCAAGGTCGGAGAGGATGAGCCTGAGATCTGAAGCCTGGTACTGAAAATCTCAGGACTCTGTTACAGAGTAGCCAGGAAAACAAAATCCCTTTCCATTCTTTAAAATTTTATTATTAAAACATCACACAAATATAGACACACAGGGGTATCAGCACGTCCTTCCTGGATACCAGGAAGCTCCGGCCTCAGCAGGTCTGAGAGAAAACACTGGTTATGCCTCCGTCAGCTCTCAGGCGGACCCTGAGTGGGGAGCGGAGGAGAATCGGGGGGAGTGGTCACTGGTAAAAGGTCTCCCCAGGAGCTGGCGCGGGCACACCGGTACACGTCCCTATGAAACAGAAAGGCGATGTCAATGTGGGCGGCAGGCCCTTGCCACATTCCATTAATCTGGTCACACCTCCTGTACCTGCCGTGCCGGCTGGCTGTGATAACAGCATGCTGCATGTGCCCATCCGGACAGCACAGGTGACAGTGCACATGGCGGGGCCGTCTAAGGACAGGCTGAGTGATTCGTGGCCAGCGATTAGCATCCTCTGGAAACCCTCGGGCAAGAATCACCATAGAGAACTTTTCCTCTTTCGGTTTCTTATTCTAAGGTAAGAATACAGAAACTGTTTAGAGGAAAAAGACTATGGGACAAAGCTTCTCAGTCTCCACATTCTTGCAGCCCCTTTTCCTTCCTCACAGTACTGGGGGACTGAGCCCAGGGGTCTCTACCCCTGGGCCACAACTCCCGCCCTTTAGAAAATTTATTGGGAGATGGGACTTGTTAAATTGCCCAGGCTGGGCTCAGATTTGCAATCCTCCTGCCTCAGTCCCCGAGCGCTGGGACTACAGGTGTGTGCCTCTGTGCCTGGCTCTGCAGTCTTTTCACATTGTACAAATCATACACACGCAGGCTCTGACACCTGCGGACTATTTCCTAAGTTCCCACTCTTCCCATGTCTGACTCTCTTTTTCCTGCTTTCCCAGGTTATTTTCCCTGTTAGAATATCACTAGGACACATACCCAGCTGAAGGGGATGGGATGGTAACCCTGGGAGAAGCTACAGGCCAGGGGCTGAGAGGCCATCAACTGAGGACAAGGAAGTTCATGGGGGCACTGTGAACACAAAACAGACAAAACCGCCATCAATCATACAAGTTCAGAAGATAGAATCCAGAGGGGCCCGGGAGAAGGGACGCAGGGAGCGCCATGGGAGTCCCCAGGTGAGGTGGAGGGGGACACGGAGTGTGGAGAGTGGCCTTGCTTTCTCCGCTCACTCTGCCTGGCCACATTCTCACTCTGATCTGTGTGCTGGGACAGCTGAAGTAATACTCACCGGGGCGAAGACAAACCCAGGACGAGGGTCCAAGGGTGACTTCTCTTTCCCCTAAAGTCAAAGAAATGAAGCTGGGTCTGCAGGGCCTATTTTCATAATTCAATCAATACTTGGGAGACTGACGACTCTTTTAACGTTCAATTCTAACAGTGATGAACTATGTCCTTTGAGTGAAGCTGGCTGTATTGCTAATGCTCTAAACAAAGAACTTTCTCTGTGCAGCAGTGGAGAGGCAGGAATTTGGCACACAGTAAGACACTCTCCCTTGTCAGCAACCTCCACTTTCAAAAAAATTCGCTCAGGACAATTTATGATCACACACTGGCTCAACACTCTTTTACAGAGACAAGGTTTGTGGCTCAGCAATGCCCTACGCCAGAGGCTGGCAAGCGTGTTTTTCTCGTAGTGGGGATTAGACCCAAGACCTCACACATGCTGCACAAGCGCTCTACCACTGAGCCACGTCCCAGCCTTTATTTGGAGACAGGGCCTTGCTAAGTTGCCCAGGCTGGCCTTGAACTTGCAATCTTCCTGACTCAGCCTCCCAAATAGCTGAATTCAAAGGCATGCGCCACCGTACCTTGCTGCAAATTTTTGAAAGGGCAAGGGAGAAGGAGACAGCTATCTCTGTCTCCACTACTGAGCTCCGCAGTCAGCAGTGCAAAAGCAGCCACAGACAGAGTCATGACTATGCACAGCGCACACAGAAACAGGCAGCGGCTGACCTGTGCTTGTCTGCTAAACCGCAGCCCTCTGTGCTGAGGACTTGGAGTCACCTTCACCTATCTATGACCGTCTCTTCAGTTTTCAAGGAGCAGCAGTAACTGGTGACAGACAGGTGGGGGTGCAAAGGGGGACAGGGGACCTCACCTTGAGGACCAGGTCCCTGGCATCCATGAGAAGCTGGTGCCCAGCTTTTGTTCCGTTCTCCACCAGTACCTGTCCATGGGAGGGAAAACAAGCAGATGCCGTGAAGCGTGCGAGGGGTCAGCAGCTCTGCAGCAGCATCTGCAGACCGAGTCAGGTCGGACATGGGCATCTAAGTAAGGTGGAGATGGATCCCTAAGGGAGGGACGTAAACATCTCCGAAGGAGAAACATGTTTGAGAGTAAAGAGAAGGGGAGGAACGGCCTGAAACCCACGAAGCTGCTTTCAGCCTTCAGGGGAAGTTTTCGACTCACCAGAAAATGGCTCGTCTTGCGCCACAGGGTGTGGAGGACTGCGGCGCGGTCAGCCGCGCTGGGCAGCTCACTCAGGGCAAAGGCTGCGACCACCACATCGAACTGCACCTGCGGAGACAGGGGGCGCTGGGAACTGACACGCTTGTCCCCCGAGGACCAAGAGCTCTGGCCCTCATGTCCTTTACGTTCTTTTCCGGTACCAGGAATCGAACTCACGACCTTGCACTTGCCAGGCAGGCGCCGTGCCGCTGAGCTAAATTCCCAGCCCCTTTCTTTACGTTCTAACACTCAATGCTAGACTATAAAACTGCAGCCACTGCATTCCCCTGCTACATTCTGCATTCAAAATACTGAGTGCAGCTACTTGCCTTGGGCGATACAGGTAGAAACTGTCTGAAAAAGACACCCCGAACGTAAGGCTCCCCTGATTGTGAACCACCTGCGGAAGAAAGAAGAGAGGGGGTGACCAAGGGTACACATGAAGTAGGTGGCATGGTGGCGCACACCTATAATCCTGTCACTCAGGAGGCTGAGGCAGGAGGATTGCTGGGAGTTTGGGCTACGCAGTGAGGCCAGTGTGGACTACATAGGGAGTTCACAGACCCGCCTGCACTACATAGCAAGACCCTGTCTCCAAAAACAAAAAACAAACAAAAAAGTATATATGAAGTTTAGTTCAAACTGAAGAGATATCCAGACCAGAAACAGCCCGAGGACAGACAGAAGCACACTGGGTGAGACCGAGCTGCAGTGTTGTAGTAAATGTGAAGAGGGCAGAGCGAGTATCAGCTGCCTTGTCCCGTTAGCCTGACCCAAGCCGGTCATAGCCCAGCAAAGGCCTCTGGCCCCCTCTGTTGACCAGAGCACTGCAAGGAGACCAGATCCTCTTAGCTCTCAGCTCTCTCCACTTCCAACAAAACCACCTTTCTACTACTCCTTTGACTTTCAACTCCCTCGGCTTTGGAAAGGCCCTACCTGAGAGCCTGTTCTCACCTTTCAGTAGTTTCTCTGCCAGGTCCAACATGGCAGCTGAGCTGTCCACACAAACATATTCCCGGAGGCTCTGGCCCCAAGTAGCGTGAGCGGCCCTGAGATAGCAAAAGAAAAGCCATCAATTCTTATTTATTTATTTATTTATTTTTGAGGCAGGGTCTCACTGAGTAGTTCAGGCTGGCCTTGAGTTCACTATGTAGCCCAGGCTGACCTTGAGCTCGTGGTGATCCTCCTGCCTCAGCCCTCCTAAGTGCTAGAATTACAGGAATGCACCATCATGCCCAGCACCCCCAAAACCACTAATTCTCATGACAAAAAGTCATCCCTATAAGAGGTCTATTTCCAACCCAACCCTGGGGAAACAGGTGTCATGTTAAAACACCTCAAAAAACCTAACAATATTATCCTCTTATTTCACTCATAACTCCTTTAGAAAAGATAGACTCAAATCCACTACAGGCAACATGACTTTTGATTGATACATAAAATGTACTCTCTATACTAAATTCCTTTCCTTTTTAGCCTTTCTAAACATGGCCCCTTTTTGCACTTGACATTTCTGTAAGTTCTGGCCCCAGGCCATAGGCCTCCTTCTGAGGGAAGAACTGCAGTTCCCAATTTTCCTGTTCTCTTTTCTCAGTCTTGATACTGAGTGGTGTAAGTGGCTCTTTAGAGCTAGACTCACAGAGATGGCTGCAGAAAGTTACTCACCAGGCGACAGAACCAGTACCAGAGCCGAAGTCCATCAGGGTTTGTGGCTGGAACTGTGGACTTCTAGTATGGATCTGAAGAAACATACAACATTCCACAGAGGGTAAGTAGAGAATGACTTAGGGCCTTGGAAAATATGGATTAGGGGACTATGACAGAGGAGAGAAGATGGGAATATATTTTGAGATTAAACAGAAATACTTTCTAGAACAGAAAGCTTGTGAAACAGTGGTTTTTTGAAAAACTAAAAGCATTTATTTGAAGGTGTAGGGGGGAGAGAGAGGAGACTGCTACCTTGGGTGAGTAGGATTTTCTTTGGACAAGGTCCCCCTAGTGAGTTCAGGCTGGCCTTGAACTCACTGTGTAGCCCAAACTGGCCCTGAACTCCAGCCTCAGCCTCCTGAGTGCTGGGATGACAGGGTGTGAAAGAGGACTGTAAATCTTCCTTGAGTAACAGAACCCTTTCACCAGAGGATAGAGACTCTCTTTTAAAACATGCATCTATAACGTCTGAAGAGTCCCTGCTCGGAAGACTGTTTTAGGAAAAAGGGAGCTGAGACAAAGGCTCGGGCTGGAAGCTGAGGGACTTTCACCTCATGGAGCGCCCTGGAGACTGCTGCAAAGCCACCGTCCAGTCTTGCTGCCATATACACCAGGCTCAGCTCCTCATTGTATCTGCATGAAAATCAGAGTCACAGCCACTGGCAAATAACCTCAGCCCATGGTCACTTTATAGATTCTCAGGGGTGAAATTTTTGGAAAGGGCTCTTCTCACCCCTCCACACCCCAGTATCGAAGGGCGCAGGTAGCTTTCTCAAACACTACAATGACTGTGTAACTATACACTCCAATTCTGCTTTTCAAGCCCAATGTTTCCTTCGCACCTCTCCAAGCCCCTCACCTCAGTTCCTGCCAGTGGTAGGTGGTTCTGCGCAGGGCGCGGAGCACTGCTTCTCGGAGTTTGTCCTCTGTCTGAGGTGAGTCTGGGGTGAGAACAAGGACTAGAGGTGAGGACCTGGAGCGAACAGGGACCCGATCCAGTGTTAAGTATCCTGCCCAACCCGATCCTCCTTGTCCCCACCTGAGCAAAGCCTCAAAGCTCAAGAGAGAAGCCAAACCTAGAGAAAAAGTTTAGGGAAGAACAACCATAATCACTAGAGTGAGGATCCTGCCTCTAACAGCAGTTTACTCAGTTTAACAAACTGTCCCACAGGTTTTGTTTTATATGTGTTGTGGTTGATACATTGTGTCAACTTGAGGAGTTAGAAGCTTAACTAAGTAACTCAGCAGTTGTACATCCTGGGGTGAAAAGGACATGCCCTGATACTCTAGGATGTTGTTCACTGTGTCACCTTGAGAAGTTTAGGAGTTCCACTAAGTGATTCAGCAGGGGGCCACGGTCCTTACTTTGTAAACATCCTCAGCTTGTAGAAGAGGAGGGCAGAGATGGCGTGGGCCGATAGCGGATATACAATATAAGCCAGGGAAATAGACTCCGCCCCCTCTTGCGGCTTTTGTTGTTTTCTGCTGCCTTGAGGTGTTGCCCCTGTGCCATGCCACCACCTCCACAAACTATGAACTAAAGAAACCTTTCCTTCCTTAATTTTTTTTTTGTCTTTTTGAGACAGGGTCTCCCTATGCAGTTCAGGCTGGCCTTGAGCTCACTTTGTAGCCCAGGCTGGTCTCGAACTCGCAACGATTCTCCTACCTCAGCCTCCCGACTGCTGGGATTATAGGCCTGCGCCATCATGCCCGGCTCCACTACCTTAATTTTGGATGTTGGGTACTTCGTCTCAGCAAGGAGAGGAAAGTAACCAAGACAGTATGAATGAGAAGCATGAGAAAAATTTAAAGGCTAAGATAAGCAGAAAACCTTGTGGATTTTTTCGAAGATCGTGAAATCTCCTACTTTCCTAAGGGGAGGAAAAGAGTTTGAAAATATCTCGTGACTCTACTCAGTTCTCTACTATTTAGAAACTACCTACTGAATACCTATTCTGAGCCAAATATGGGGAGTGCAGGGAACACAAGCTGAAACAAGGCAGCTCTGAAACAGGAAGGGGCTCGTTATCATAAAAATAGGCTTCTTCTATCTCCGAACAGGGTTTTGGTGCGGGGCAAGGAGCCATACAGGCACCCTGGAGAAAAACGCAGATTTTTCTGCGGGGGCTGGTCGTGCGGGACAGGACCCAGGGAGCTGGATTTCTGAGCTTTATCCGAAACCTGAGGGCAAGCCGTCTACTTCTATCGAGGCGCTGTAAAACTGCTCTTGCCAGAGTCAATTAAGGAACTGCAGCATCAGTTTTACAGACTGTGGAATTACTCCTTGCTTTTCATCTCCCATTGATGTTCTAATCTGGAAATATTCTTAATTACTCTTAAATCCCACCTGGGTTCTCCAGGATTTTTTTCTCCAGATGCACTGCCCGTCTTTGCAGCTCCTCGGGTTCTACAGGCAGATGGCGACTCCACAGGTAGTTGGTCAGCGTTTGCACCTTCTCCTCCACACTGGGCACTGCGCGGTCTGCCGACCGAGGAGGAAGGGCGGAATCAGCCCTGCGCAGGCCCTGCCTCGCGCCCTGCGGGTCCCGCGCGGCGCCGACTCACCGAGCAGCAGCAGCTGCGCCGCGGCTGTCAGCGCCGGCGGCAGCCGCACGTGCGGGAGCTGCAGGACGCCCGGGTGCTGGCGGTGCGGCTTCCTCCCCAGAAAACCCGACTTGTTGTCCACGTGCGTCGCGCCGGGGACGAGGGCGGCGAGGGCCTGCAGGCGGGGAGAGAAAAGCCGACGGCCCGCTGAGGCGTGCGCCTCGGACCAGAGGTGTCTCTGCAAACCCTGTCGCTCCGACAGCAGAGGAATCGGACACTTACCCGGGCCTGGGGAACTACTCCAAAGGTCCGGCGCCATCTGCTTAATGTCTGTCCGCCGGCGGTCGCCATGGCTCCGGAGGCAAACCGGAAGCGGGAGCGTAGGTGACCCTCAGTTCCAAAGTCCCGGCGAGCCACTTCCGGTGTCAAAGACATTATCAGCCAGTGAGAAGAGCGAGTACGTGCAAGCGTCCAATAAGCAATTGATATGTAAATCTTCCTGAGGATGAACCTATAAGCGCGGAGGACTTGGTCGTGGTTCAGACAAAGTCAGAGGAGATACAACGGGCACCGTGTCTTGGCCAGAAACCCAGCGAGCGGGCGCGACTCCTCCACTCTGGCGAGGGCTCTGGAGTGCTGTTTCTCGGTTTCCTCCTTGGACAATTCTGAGTCTCAGGTGGTTTTCCTCTGTGAAAGAAAGAGAATGCAGTAACAAAAACACGAGACGAGAAGATTTAGACGACCAAAGAGAACATACATAAGCCGTTAATGGTTAAAATAGTTATTCGTTTAATAGCTATGACACCTTGTTAATGGGCTTAATTTTAAAAAGTTAGTTTTTCTTCAAGTTAATTCGATCCTCTTAGTGACCTAATGCGTACCGAGAACATCTCAGACATCGCGCCAAAAGCTTTTAGGTAACCTGCAGTACCTCTTTTTTGCCCCCACACCTTAAGGAGTGCGAGGGTCTCTGGTTAACTTCATTGTGCGGTTGAGGAGGGTGAAGGTTCCGGTGGTTAAATGGGCCCAAGATCACAAAAATTCAAGCAGGCAGCTGGAGCTTCACCTGTGAACCACATGTGTAAAGCATATGCTGTACCTGGTGTTGGTATTTGGATGCAAAGTGTCTAAGAACTTCGTGCTAAGTGTTCAGAAATTAAACTAACGTGTAACATTAAAAATAACTCACTGTGCTGTAAACTCTTCTCCTCTTCCTCCTCTCCCTCCCCCTTTCTCTAGCCCCTCCCCTTCTTCTTGTTCCTTTTTGAGAAGGGGTTTCCAGGCTTGCCTGGAAGTCACTTTGTATCACTTTGTAGCCCAGGCTGGCCTGGAACTCAGGGTGCTCCTCTTGCCTCAGCCTCCCGAGTACTGGTATTACAGGCATGTACAAACACACCTGGCTATTTTCATCTCTTGGTACTTTGCTTTAAATTCCTGGTTTAAGTGTCCATAAAACAAGATATCCTTGTCCCTTGTATGCCAGCTGTAATAGAAGATTGATTATGTTATTTTTTGTTACAGGGAGATGTAGCAGAACATAGGGCTAAAGTGCTTGGGTTCTGGAGCCTGGCAATGTGAGTCTGAATTCTAGAGCAATGAGATACTAATTGCTGATTCCCAGGTTTTTTGGAATGAAGATCAAATAAGATAATGTCTGGTTCAGAATAAATGCTCAATAAATTTATGCTGACATTATTAGATGTGTTTTTTGGAATTTGAAGGAATATACTCACATTTTAATTTTTAGTTTGAATTTATTTTATTTTTTTCCAAAATAGACATGAAACTGGGAATAGTATGGAACCAAGTAAGATGGGGCACTAGGGTGAGAAGTAAGGAGCAGGAGAACTTTATGGTGTCTGGGCCTCCTTTTTTTTTTTTTTTTTCGGTCAAGCTACCACTAGAGATGTGGCTTCCTTTATTCTGATGACTTCCTAATTGGGAAGGCAGAGGTGGGAGGATGATGGCAATTTTGAAGCTGGCCTGGCACATTAGTGAGACCCTATTTCAAAACAAAAAGGGCTGGGGATACAGCTCAGTGGTAGAGCACTTGCCTATCATGTTCTAGGCCCAAGGTTCAAGCTCCAGGCAAATTAGGCAATCTTTTGTGAATGATTACAGTTACTAGCTTTAAGGATAATTTCAGTTTGAAGAAATTTTGCTCATAACAATTGTAAGTTTTTTTCTTTTAGAGGTACTGGGAATTGAAGTCAGGGCCTTTTCACTGAACTGCATCTTCAGACTTGTTTGTTTGTTTATTTATTTATGACAGTGTCTCACTATGTAATTTGGGTTGGCTTTGAACTCACTATGTAGCCCAGGCTGGCCTCAAACTCACAGTAATCATCCTACCTCAGCCTCTCAATTGCTGTGATCACAGATGTGTACTACAATGCCTGGCTACTTTTATTTTAAGACATGGTCTACACTAAATTTCTTTTTTTTTTGGTTTTTCTCCGGTACCAGGAACTGAACTCACGACCTTGCGCTTGCCAGGAAGGCGCTTTGCCGCTGAGCTAAATCCCCAGCCCCTACACTAAATTTCTCAGACAGGACTTTAGCTTGCCATCCTCCTGCTTCAGCCTCCCAGAATGCTGGGATTGTAGGTGTGTGCCACCATACCTGATTTAATATGACATTCTTTTTTTTGGATTTTTTTTTCTGGTACCAGGAATCGAACTCACAACCTTGCGCTTGCCAGGCAGGCGCTGTGCTGCTGAGCTAAATCCCCAGCCCCGACATTCTTTTTTTTGAGCAGAGATGCTTACATTTATTTTTAAAACAGTCTCAAAGTATATCATGAATCATAAGAGAGTTTAGGAATAACTTTTATTAATGCAGGTATTAGACAATTCACTGAAGAATATGGAAGCTCAAATAATTTTTAAAAACTGCTTTAATGTTGCTACAAGTTTCTCAGTTCAGGAGCAAGCAATAGAAATGTCTCCTTTGACCAGATATGACTGTCCTAGAAAAGCTGGATCTTGTAAGGTTGTAGGTCTTCAAAGTTCTTTCTGGGGCTATAGTTGTAGGAAGTTATTTAATCATTTCCCACTTCCTATGAGGAAAGAAAGTATAGGCGAAAGCAACTTTTCTAGCAAACATCCTAATATTTTTGTCAGTGCCCCTAGGGACTTTAAAAAAGTACTTACATTGCTTTTTTAAAATTTTATTTTAAAGAGAAAAGAACAAAAGCAAAATAACGAAAACAAAACAACACAAAAACAATAAAAACAAAACAGAATTCCAAAAAAAAGGTGATAGGAAATTAACAAGGTTATTGTATTACATATTGTTATCCTCAAAGTAGTTGCTCACATTACTGGATATAGGCGTGCAAGATTGATCAAATAATTAAACTATTAACTGTTCCTTCCAATAAACCGTTAGACATTTACATTGCTTTTGTGTGCTTAGATCCTAGGCTTCTTTGACTTACTCTTGTCTAATTCCTCTATCTTTGTGAGTAGTTCATTCTAGTCTGAACGGGTGACTTGGGCTTGTCACTACTGCTGGCGATGCCTGTGGCACTACCCTATGTTCTCCTGGTCTATCTCCACATACTCCCTGGACAATCTCATCAGCGTCTTCCACAGCTGCTGAAACATTCATTATCAGTCCTGGCCTAGGTCACTATGCTTAGCTCTGGCATTCCAACCATCTGGCATTTACCTATACCATACATCACTGCCGTCTCAAAACAGATTTTAAAGTGAATGCATCTTTTTCATTACCACCTTGACCCTTGTTCCCTGTCCCTCTAAAAGCTGTCTTCCTATGTACGGTATTTTTTTAGCTCTACTGTCCAGCAATTTGGAACAAAACCATGAATAGTATTAAAATACTGTGTGCTATATTAAATTGTGTGTGTGTGTGTGTGTTATCCTTCTCAGGTTGAATTTGAAGCATCTTCAAGGTCAAACACAAAAAGGGAGTTGCGGGGCTGGGGATTTAGCTCACTGGCACAGCACCTGCCTGGCAAGCGCAAGGTCCTGAGTTCAATTCCCGGCACTGGAAGAAAAACAAACAAACAAAAAAACAAAACAAAAAAGGGAGTTGCTTTTATGTTTCCACCATAGATGCCACCTCCAAACCTCAACTGCATGGTTTTATGGACTATAAACTTCTGCTGTAAGTCCAAAGCACTCTTCTTTCCAGTACTTGGATTTGTAGATTCACATCAGAATGATCTTTTCCCCCAGATATTGAGGGTTGGTGCCATGGATGCTATGTGCATCTTCACTGTGCGGGTCTCCATTTTAGAACCACTTCCTCAACCAGAACATTCTTAAAGTGAAACTTAGATTTGGACACAAACTCATGAGTTTTACATATTCTGTTCTAATACTGTGATGGATAAATTAATATTATTACAGTAGATATTATGGATTCTTTTAATGTTATTGTGTAGACTAATAAAAATTATATTGTGATTTTTTACTCTTAAAAAAACAGCAACTAGAAAAGAGTATTGTAATTCATTGTCCAAACTTTCACATAGATTGAAGAGTAAAGCAACTGTTTAATGTTGCAAAATGCGCTTAACCTGCCCTGTGGAGCTGTGCAGAGTACAGTGCGAATTTGTGAGTAATGCTGGAACGGTGCAGAAAGACAGACGCTTGGTGGCAAAGACACATCAGAAAGATCATTCAGGGCCGGGTGTGTTGGCACACACCTGTAGTTCCAGCACTCAGGAGGCTGAGGCAGGAGGATTGCCGTGAGTTTGAGGCCAGCCTGAGCTACATAAATGAGTTCAAGGACAGCCTGCACTACATAGTGAGTCTGTCTCAAAAACCAAAAAACAAAAAAACATCATTTGGGAAGAAGACCTTGACAGGTCAGTGATTTCTTTTATCTAAATGCTTGTGCTGTCCAAATCCTTCCAGTACTTGAAGCAGTGTCTGTCTCTTATGTTGACAGAGGCACAATATACAAAGTCATTACTTGGATGCTCTCATCTTTTGAGGACTTAGTGCAAGAGGTATGAAGAAGTGCTTCCCTTGGACCAGAGCCAGGTTATTCACAAAAGCAGAAGTTCAGGATTATGGTTTGCACTGGACCCCAAGGATAGAGGCACATCTGCACTCTTAAGGGAATTTGCTGTTTGGTAGGATACTTGTACTTATGTGCAGGGCCTTCTTAAATGTGAAGTCCAGGGAGGAACCCCAGTTACCTGGGTCTAAGGTAGTTCTGGCTACATTCCCAGTACTTAGGCAAAGTTTTGCACATACTCACCGAAGATTTCAAATAAATATCTGATGAAATATCTTAGTATATGTGCTGCCGAAGCGAGCACCTGATGCAATGTCTTGAGTAAGTGGGATGAATGCCTGGAAGAGATGTTTTGCTGGCTCTCTGGGTGCCTTAGGGTTGGTGAATTTTTAAAAATGTTTCGTTAGAGCCTTAAAAAAGGGGAGAAATCTTTCAAGGCAGGAAAGTTGGCTCTATTTGGCCATGGACAGATTACTTTAGAAATGTTCTCTGAACAAAATACAGATAAACTCTGAGTTGGTTTTGTATGCAGAGAAGAGAATGCTTCTACTTGAGCCATGAAGGCTGAGCCCCAGGTTTAGACCGGAAGAACTCTGCTTCCTCAGAGATCAAGGGATAAATAGATCTGGGTCTGAACTGGGACTGGCAGTGCCTATGAACTTTGAAGTAGGACTTCAGTGGGCTTCAAACCCTGAATAGTGGATGAGTTTGTGCCAGGAGGTATTGTGTGGCATGAGGTAATATCTATAAATTTCCCCTGATTATATCTAGTATTTACTCTGAAAAGTCGTTGTCAGCTTGGTAAAATACTGTGTTCTTTAGATAAGCATCCACCAGAAGAAACAGGGAAGTATGGGGATGTTATGGTTTGTGTCTGCATGTCCCCCCAAATCCTCTGCAGTCATGGGGCGGGATTCTAGATTTTTGCTTGATCCATGGTCCAATGCTGGGACCATGGATGTGAGTGCTACACCTGCCCCTGGGGCGGACAGTTTGCATATGATGTAAGGGAGGGAAAGAGCCTGCTTGCTGCAGCTCCTCCTTTTTGCTCTTGTTGCTTTTGCTGTTTTCCACTGCCATGAACTGTTGCCCTCTGCCATGTGCCACCCTGCCTTGGAGCCAGCCAAGCATAGCCTGAATCCTCCACAAACTGTGAGCTAAATATACCTTTCCTTCCTTAATTTTGGGGGTTAGGTATTTTGT